GAGGGATCATCGATCGCACGAGACCACTGTTCCCGTGTACGTGTCCGACGGCGCTGCGGTCGTTGTGGCGACGAGCGCGGCGAGAACGAGGACGCGCGTGTGCATGTGCGTGGATGTGTGGTGACGGCCTCAGGGCGGGGAGAAGACCGGCTTGGCGGTAGCGGGCTCGGCGCGCCCTAGTTGGCGGAGAGAAAACCGTGGGGGGAATTTTGGAATTTTGCCTGACTGCGGTGGGGGGGACTGTAGGACCACTCTCTGCGATCGCGTCGGCTGTGTCACATCGTGCTGCACACCACGCACCACAGGAGATCATCGCGCCCACCGTCTACTTTCGGTGCACTGGTCGCGACCGGCTCGTCCGCGGCGGCGGCGGAGGCGTCCTCGGCCTGGGCCGCGAGCTCGCGCGCGCGGCAGAGGGCGGCCTCCTCTGCGGTGGCGAAGCGGCCGAGGAGGATCTCGAGTCCGTCGCGTCTCAGACGGGCGCGGAAGGGCAGCCGCAAACAAGAGGCGCGGTAGACGCCCAGGAAGCGCGTGCCAGAGTCGGACATCAGCAGCTCCAGCCCCTCCTCCGCCGCCGCCTCCAGCGCAGCAGCAGCTGTCATCGGCGGCAGCGCTTGCGCCTCGGCGCGCTTGGCCTCCGCCGCCGCCCGGCCCTCGGGCGAGCGGGCGTAGCAGAGCGCGGCCGCCTCCGCCGACCAGAAGTAGCCGAGGTTCACGTCCTTGCGGCCGCGCCACACCCGTGCCATGAAAGGCAGCTTGCAGGCCTGTGGCGTTTGGAAGACGCCCACAAAGCCCGAGCCGCCCGTCTGCAGCCAACCTCTCCTCGGCGGCCGTCGCTATGGCCTGGGCGCTCGTCATGTCCTGCTCCTCCCGCAGCGCCACCGCCTTGGCGAGCTTGCATATTCCAGCCCCTCGGGCGAGGTTGCGTAGCAGTACGCTGCCTCCACCTTCGACTCAAAGCGGCCGATGACAGTCTTGACGTTAGCGCGGGAGACCGTGGTAACGTAGCGCCGCGTAGGGTCCTTGTTGGCCTCGTAGTGGACGCACTTGCACTCGGTGTCGGCCCTGATGAGTTTGACGGAGGAGGGCTGCGGCTTCAGCATAAATAAATAAATTAAAAACGGACACCTCTCGACTGTGAGATGGGTAAAAAGGAACAGGCCCCCGCCCTTGCGATCTTTGTGCAGGGTTCTTTGTGGGTGTGGTCGGCGACTAGCCGGGGTCGTCCTCCCGATGGGGGACTAGCACTAGCCGTCTTCCACATGGTCCCTCGGGTCCCTGCTGCTCCTAATCTCTTCGTACATCCTCCTGCTGATCTCCGCAAAGTCCTGCTCCCTCCCTCGGTCCCTCGTCTCGCCCTGCGCGTCTGCTCCGCCTCACCGTCTTCTGCCCTGCGTCGTCTGGCGACGGGTCCTCCATAGTCGGTCGAGGTCGCCGCCCTCCTCGTGCCTCTTCCCAACGTTCCCGGCTTCAGCATGATATGTCACGCTGTGCTCATTTCTTGTTTCTACAAAATTGCCGCGTAAACTTATCGGAACATTTCTTTTGTGTGGGGGTGGGAGAGGGGCGCACGGAAAAGCTCACAGTGCGTGAGCATCCGTCACATCTACCGTCACCCTTGCAACACTTTTCCCGGGATGGGGGGCGCGCGGGGGCGGCGCCGGCGGGTGTGAGAGAGATTTTAGAAAACCAACAAGAAATCACGACTCTCACAGTGATTTGGGCTCGGCAGCTTGTCAGCCCTCAGCCGAAGCTGGGGCCGGTCCCGTAGCTGAGAGAGCCCGCGCCGATGAGTTCGACGCGGTCGGGGGGGCCTGCGGAGAGGCCAGCGAGGTGGCGATCGCGTACTTCATGGCGCCCTCAAAGTGGGGCTGGCTGACTCGCCAGAGGTCGATACTCTGGACGACCCATAGGATGCCACGAATGCCTGGAGGAGAGGGAGGCGAGGCCAGAGGCAGGCTCAGCTGCTCTCGGGTGATCTCACTTTGGTGGCTGAAGCGGGTCCTGTCACATTCGCGTTCCGAGTCGTGGGGGTAGAAGAATTCGAGGTAGAATCGAGTCAGCACTTCCTTGTAGTACAGCGGACCGCCAGGCTCGCCGGCAGCATCCGCAGGGAGGCAGCATATGAGGCACCAGTCTTCTGAAGAGCTCAACACGGCTGCGGCCGCGATGGTAGAGTCGGCCGCGGTTCCTCTCTCTCTCGGGTGTGCGGGATGTCTGTGGGCCCGAGCGCGATGCGTCATGTGTGTGTCCGCCTTGCGTTTGTTTCAACACACACATCGAAGGCTAGCTCGAAAAGAAATCGCCGGAGGACTGCCGCCATGTTGCCTGGAAGAGCCCTCCTCTTGTCCGTGGCGCGTGCCCGCGTGGGCCGTGCCCGTGGCGGCTGGGGCTGCTGTCCGTCAGCTCTCGAGGCGCTCCTCGCCCCTCTCCCCGCCGCCGCGCGTGTGCGCGCACCCAATGATGGTGGTCACGTTGTGGCCACCATCACGCCCTGGCAACTGACGTGAGGGCGAGGGTCTCTGCCATTTTGCATGTGCATGCACGCGTAAAGCGCCGTAAAGCCGTATATCTCTCTGCGGACTGCGGTCTGCGCCCCCCCCTCCCTCAGCCTCGCACATCTCGGTTTCCTGCGATCTTTCTTTTCAATCACGGCAAACACGCCTCGCCGTTGGGCCGTTCCTCATCTCGTTTAAATCATCTCGCACCTGATCCGGATGGGCGGCACGCCGCGGAAAGGTGCCGCGCAGACGCGCTGCGCCGCAAGACACCGGGGCCTGCCCCTCGGCTCACGCGTGGGAGGTGCCGCCCTGCCGCCTCGCGTCCCAAGCTCGTCGAGGAGCCCGCCGGCCACCCGCGCGCGGCAGAGCCTGCCTCTCGGCCACCCCCGCGCGCCCCTTGGCGGGTGGCCGCCGCCCGCGGTGCGCCCCTCAGGCGGGCTTCTGCACGACGCCGACTCCGGCGGCGCGCAGGCAGCGGTCGTGCATCACGTAGCCGGGCGAGGCGACGTGCATCACGGTGCCTGGCTCCTTGGTCGGGTCTGGCGCCTCGAACATGGCGTTGTGGAAGTTCGGGTCGAACTTCTCTCCGAGCGGCTCAATCTTGGTGAGGCCGTGCTTTGAGAAGACCTGCGGTGGAGGAGGCGGGCGGCTCGCCGGGCAGGGAGGAGGAGGACGAGGAGGAGGTGGGGGGAGGGGAGGGTGCGGGGCGAGCGGCGAGGGCGTGAGCGGCGTCCGCGGGTCGCGGCAGGCTGCCGGGGAGCGCGTGGGTGCACGCGTGCGGTGTCTCGCCTTGTGCAGGACCGTGTCGACGAGGACGACTCCCTCGTACAGGTTCTTCAGCACGGGCGCCTCCTCCGAGTCGCGCAGCTCGGCGGGCACCGCATCGGCGGCGCGCCCGAGGTTGTCGGCCACGTCAAGAAGGTCCTTGGCGAAGCCGCCCACCGAGAACTTGCTCGCGTTCTCCACGTCGATCGCCGCTCGCCGCCGCGCATTATCCGCCTCAGCGAGCGCGCGCAGCACCTGGTCGTGCTTCGCTTTGAGCTGCTCGTCGAGCTCGCTCAGCTGCGCCTCGAGCTCCGCGACCCGCGCGGCGTCGCCGTCGGTGCCCTCCGACGTCCCCGGCGCAGCCTCCGCCTCTGCCGCATCCGCAGCGGGCTCGGCCGCGGCCTCCGGCTTGGCCTCGGCCTTGGCGCACAAGGTGCGTGCCCACCCCCCAGCGGCGCCGCGGTGCCGCGCGAGCATCAAGGCCTCCGCCGACTGCGAGGGCAGGGGCAGGCGACGCGCCAGCAGGACCCTTCGTAGCGGCAGCATGCTCTAGTCCCCTCGTCGTCGCACTTCCTGCTCAGTTCCAAGAAATCACCGCCCACTGCGGGACGCGGAAACGAAAGGTGTGCAGACCCCAGTTCCAGCGGACGCAGCGAGCGTCGGGACTCCGTCCCAGCAGACGAAGTCTTCCTCGTGGGCTCCACGGCCCGGATCGCGAGCTCGATCGATACGCGACGCGCTCGGCCTCCGCTGGCGGCTGCCGCAAGAGCGGCTGGCTCACGGCAGCGTCTCGCCGGTTGCCGGATAGGAGAGTACAGAACGTCTGGAGTGTAACTGTGTACGTGAGATCGGTTTTGATAACAAGCACGGTCGATCCGTCAAAGCGATACACTCGTTCCTATCTCGCTGGGGGGCTGGCACGGAGCTCTGTGCCGACAAACAGGAAGAGCCGAGCGGCAAGAAGGGCTCGATGGGGAGCGAGAACCGTCAGAAGAGCTTGAGGTGTAACCTGAAGTCCGTCGTGACGCTCTTGTTTCCCCCCAGGTTTGACCGCGCAGCTTCCAAAACTCGACGATATCTTCCGGAAAGACTGAACCTCCCGCAGAGCGGCAGCATGAGAGGCGCAGAGAGGCTGCGAGTGCTCGACGAGTCTTGCGAGCTGCGCGTTCAAACCGGGGGGGAACCGACTGCATCAGGGTGGACTTCCGAAACCTCCGTGAGCACGTTTGACGGTTCTCGCTCCCCATCGAGCCCTTCTTGCCGCTCGGCTCTTCCTGTTTGTCGGCACAGAGCTCCGTGCCAGCCCTCCAGCGAGATAGGAACGAGTGTATCGCTTTGACGGATCGACCGTGCTTGTTATCAAAACCGATCTCACGTACACAGTTACACTCCAGACGTTCTGTACTCTCCTATCCGGCAACCGGCGAGACGCTGCCGTGAGCCAGCCGCTCTTGCGGCAGCCGCCAGCGGAGGCCGAGCGCGTCGCGTGAGTTGAAATCGATGTGGCGAGTCGACCGCCAGTCCGCACGATGGCACTGCGACCGCGGCGGCTGCCGGCGAGGGCAGCAGCGGCGCGCGCGAGGCGGCAGCGTAATCGGGTCCGAAGTCCGGACCCGATTTGGGGTCTACACGCCTTCTCCCCGAGTGGAACCTCCTAGCAGACTAAAAAATAAAAAAGAAAACAAACAACAGGGACAAGGTGTCTTCTCTTCAAAAAAAAACCTCGCGCACGGAATGCTGCTCGCTCGGCCGCTGCCGCTGCTCGTCGCTCTGACCTCGTCGCTGCACGGCAGCCGCATCGCCATGTGTGCGACGGCTGGTGAGGACATGCTGCGGCAGCCGACGTGGGCTGTGATTGGGGACGTGCTCCATCCCAGGAAACCAGCACGTGCGGTTGCTGAGCGCCTGGAAGCCCTTGGCAAGACCGTCGTGCGAGTCAATCCTCGCGTAAAGCCGGGCACCGACCCGCACGGAGTCATCTTTCGAAGCCTCCGCGACGCGGCAGCGAAGAGCGACATCGACGTCGTCGACCTAATCATCAACCCGCGGGATGGGCTCGTGCAAATGGAGCACGCGGCCGCCCTCGGCATCAAATCTGCGTTTGTGCAGCCGGGCGCCGGCTCGGACGAGATCCTCGCCCTGTGTGAGCGGGAGGGCATCGCGGTGCATGAGGGGTGCGTGCTGCGAGAGACATGAAGTAGAAGATATCGTGGTGACCCGTACGGCTTTAAAAAAGCAGAGTGTCTTCCTCTTCCGTCTTGGTATGTCTTGTTTACAATTTCGTGAGTATTGCGTACCTCGCACGCGCGGAAAATGTTTCCGCATCCGCCATCACGAAACAAAGCGGAAACTTTCGCGCGGTACCCTATTGTGGCGGCACTTCTCCTTCTCTGAACTCTGAGCTCGGTGTCGGAGACGGGGTGGACACACTATGTCGGACTAAGCTCGTGCCTCGGCCGCTGCCAGACGAGGGGCTCCGACGAGGACGAGGACCTGAGCGACGTGCGCGTCGAGGACTCTCGCCGCTGCAGCGCAAGCAGGCACTCTTCAAAGCTGGCCTCGGCTCCGCCCTCGTCCGCACCGCCTCCGGCCCCGAAGCCGGCGGGCAGGAGGCGCTCTTCCACTGCGGCGTGCAAGTCCTCTGCGGCGGAGCAGAGGTGGAGGCGCGATCGCAGCTTGCTGGAGAGGAAGGTGCGCACCAGGTTGACGAGGGCGCGCGCGTACCACGGCGCACCGACGATCCAGAGGCCTCGCACCCGGAAGGCGGCCTTGCTGCCGAGCAGCGAGGCGAGCCGCTCGGTGAGCCGAAGCATGTCTGGCCGCAGAGAGGTCGAGATGAGGGCCGACGAGGCGCGCCGCAGGTCGACGACGACGGTGATGCCGCAGAGCTGCGTCCGCGGCTCGAGCGAGAGCGCCTCGATCAGCTTGAGCACGGCGAGGGTGAAGCCTCCGACGCCGAGCCTCCCCCACGCAACGAGGAAGTCGCTCGAGGGCGAGAGGAGCACGACTGCGCTCCCGTCGCGGGCACGACCGGGCACCGTGGCCAGGAGCCTCCTGTCCAGGACGTACCTCACGGAGCTATCCTCGATATGTAGGTCCCAGAAACGGACCGCCGCAACTGCCCCGGGCTTTGCGCCGCCCGTCCGAGCAGGCAGGCCCTCGAGGTAGCGGGAGAGGGAGAGGTTGCCTCGCAGCGCATGGAGTGCCCTCGCGCTGTCGTACTTGCGGGTGCGCAAGAAACGAACCAGCCACAGATCGGGTTGCTCCAGCGCCCTCTGCAAGTCCTCCCAGCCCGCCACCCGCTGCTCCACCAGCGTCGCCAACTCCGACCGCAGCTGCTGCAGACTGCCCGCGCGAAGCTCAGAGGTCTCGCCAAGCTCCTCATATGCGCGGAGCGTGAGCGATGAAGGGACATCGATGCGGCGGCTGTGCCTGCGGCTGCGTGCTGTGCGCTTGCTGTCGAGCATGCAACGCTCAGAGCAAGGCAGTGTCGTGGCGCTGGCCCTCGTCGTCGCCGTCGGGGTTTCTGCATCTCTGCTGCTGCTGCAGCCCATGAGGGAGAAGAGCGGGTAAGGCGGCTCCTTTCGCGGAAAACATGGGAATTTCGGGATTTCTTTTTTCTTTTATATCATTTTTCAGTGACACCACTGCGCCCGCTTCCGG